AGTTGTTCATTTCAACCTCTATCTCGTTAATCGATAACAGTGTAAAAAGAAATGGCAACAAACAAACTTCCATCCCATGTGAATTAATGGTCAATGAGCAATGACACAATTTTCATTTTGTTTGGATGAAGATCGAATGGCTAGCTGAAAGCATTACTTAAACCAAGCATGCCAATATTTCTAATGCATTTGAATTTTCAATTGTTTATATTTTGAATTTAACCTTACATTCAAAAATTTGCACAAAAACACTGTTTACAAAAACATTAATCCAGTCAGTGCATATTTAATATCTTGCAACATGAAAAGAACAGGATTAAACAGTGACCCCTGCTATGAACCCTTTTAAAAAAATGAAACTTTTTTTCAACTTTAAACATAAAATACTAAACTCAATCTTATTTTAAACTTAAACTTCAGAAAAATTAAGATGAACAACAAGGAGAGTTCTATGGATATACAACTTCTTTAATATAATATGCCACTCAAACAAGTTAAAATTAAGATGTCATGCTAGTAATTCAATCATGATGGCTAACACATTTCCCTATAGAAGTGTCTATAGAAGAAGTCTCAACTGTACTGTGGTAATAGGATGATTGACCGATCTATAGACAGCAAACATTACCCAGAAGTGTACAATGACCCTGTGTTGTACTTTTTCAATATTTGCAATGCTGATTGGTCAATTTAAGCCATGTGACATCATGGTGCTTGATTGTTTGAAGGGTGCATGACATGACAGCATCAATTGGTCATGTCACTGATTGGACATGTGAACTACGGGTTGCCTTCTGGATACATTTTTCAGCAGTGTTTCTTTGTCAGTGGGTAATATACCATAGCCTATCTGAGCATAGCAACATATATTCACCTATCTGTCCTTTGTGAATTAATTCTATAAGTCTCTCATCAAAGGCTTGACATTAACACCATCAATTCACCTGTCTGTCCTTTGTCAATCAATGCTAAAGTCTTTCACCAAAGGCTTGACATTAACACCATCAATTCACTTATCTGTCCTTTGTCAATCAATGCTAAAGTCTTTCACCAAAGGCTTGACATTAACACCATCAATTCACTTATCTGTCCTTTGTCAATCAATGATAAAGTCTTTCATCAAAGGCTTGACATTAACACCATCAATTCACCTATCTGTCCTTTGTCAATCAATGCTAAAGTCTCTCACCAAAGGTTTGACATTAACACCATCCATTCACCTGTCTGTCCTTTGTCAATCAATGCTAAAGTCTCTCACCAAAGGCTTGACACTAACACCATCCATTCACCTGTCTGTCCTTTGGCAATCAATGCTAAAGTCTCTCACCAAAGGCTTGACATTAACACCATCCATTCACCTGTCTGTCCTTTATCAATCAATGCTAAAATCTCTCATCAAAGGCTTGACATTAACACCATCAATTCACATATCTGTCCTTTGTCAATCAATGCTAAAGTCTCTCACCAAAGGTTTGACATTAACACCATCCATTCACTTATCTGTCCTTTGTCAATCAATGCTGTAAGGCCTTGCCAAAGGCTTGAGACATTCACTTGAGACAGATAATCCTCAATTTCTTGGTGCTTGTTATTCTCTTATTATCAAAGCAATATGCATGGATGATGAGTCAAAATAACAACAGCTGACTGATGAGGATACAGATTATGTTCATAGGACATTTCTATATACAATGTTCTCAAAGATCCTGAAAACATATACATAAAAGCACATCTTCAGTGATTACCGGTAAATAACAAACAACCGAACCTAATATCATTCAACCACAAAACTGATCTACAAGGCTTAAAGGTCATCTGTTTAATCAAACTTTAAACTAATTGAAGTTAATGATTTCTTCATGAATTACTTTAAGAAGAACATACGTCATGTTCAGTACAGATGTACTGGATTAAGTGAGAGACCCTAGCATGTGCATCCCGGCTATTAGAAACACACTCATCACGTTGACATACAAATAACATATAATTGAATCATTTCATGACATTTTTCAACATAAATAACAATTAACTGACTATTTTTGGCAGGAAATGCTTCCCTTATTATTTCCATTCATTTTTTTTCTTTTTCATTCTTTTCTACAACCTTGTTAATTCTTCAGAAGCATATAAACCATGTTGACATATAAATAACATGTAATTAATATATATGGTGACATTTCCTCAACTGAAATAATTGCGAAGTGACTATTTTCTTTCACAGAAGTTACTTCCCTAATTATTTTCATTCATTGGGTGTTTTAAAATTTTAAGTGCACTCTCTTTTCAGCATCCTTGCTTACCTTAGAAGCATATAAACCATTTTGACATATAAATAATATATGAATCAATTATACAAGATGTTTTTTCTACATAAATAACAATTAACTGACAAATCCTTTGTAGAATTGCTTCGCTGATTATTTCCACTCGTTATTTATTTATACATCAAGTGAATTTTTTTTTCCTGTATTCTTGCCGTTATTGTTTACTTTAATGCTGCATGCATATTATATTTGCGGAACTATTAATCTAATGTTTAACAACCCTCATAGGCCTTTCAGAGAAGTTTTAATTTATACTTGTTATCATACAATTATTATTATCATATACAAACTACATAATAGTAATGGGGTGGTGGGGTAGCCTAGTGGTTAAAGCATTCGATCGTCATGCTGAAGACCTAGGTTCGATTCCCCACATGGGTACAACATGTGAAGCCCATTTAAGGTGTCCCTGCTGTTATGTTGCTGGAATATTGCTAAAAGCGGCGTAAAACAATACTCACTCACTCACTCACGCAATAATACCACTGTCTTTATAAAACATATGTTTCTGATGACATTTTTCATACAAAATAACCAATCTTTAAAGTGTTACACTAATTAAATGTTCCCTACACCATCTTACGAGAATGTCAACTCTTGAATATTCTCGCACATGAATAAAAGTTCTCCTAACGCAGGAATATTTAACATATTAATGAGTAAAATATTGATTTGAAGCCATCAAAACATGGACCCTATTCTGTCAGGATTACACAACATGTGTTTTTATTGTAGAATTGAGGAAGCTGAATACATGAACAGTGGGACATGCCAGGGAATCAATCGGTGTTAATTTCACTGCTACACCTGTCAATCAAAGTGTTAATCAAAATAAATATCGCAAGGTAGGGTAACAAGGACGATGTGTGTTTAACAGCTTCCACATGGGACTTGTTAATCAGGCATCAGTTACATCAGGTAGATTCCGATATTGTCAATTTCAGGTATCGTCAATATAGCATAGGTGAAAATTCTCGTCAATTTCAGGTATCACAGATGGACCCTAAATCTAGCCAGTTTCAGGTACTGATATGTCAGGTAGATGTTGATTCTCATCAATTTCAGGATTATTTGCATGAAGTGTAACAGATTCTAGACAAACATTGAAAGACAACAGGCCATTTCATTCCTTAAATTCAAGGTACTGGTATGTCAAGAAAATGTTGATTCTCGTCAATTTCAGGTGTCAGAAACATCACACAGGTGAACATTCTCGTCAATTTCAGGTATCAGGTATCACAGGCAGATCCTAAATCTAGCCAGTTTCAGGTACTGGTATGCGAGGGAGATATTGATTCCCATCAATTTCAGGTGTCAGAAACATCACACAGGTGAAAATTCTCGTCAATTTCAGGTATCAGGTATCACAGACAGATCCTAAATCTAGAGTCTGGTACTGGTTTTTCAGGAAGATGTCAGTTTCAGGACATTATGAGACATCATTCCATTTCATTCCTTAAATTCAAGGTACTGGTTTTTCAGGAAGATGTTCATTCTCGTCAATTTGAGGATTGTTTGTATGAAGTGTAACACAGATTCTAGACAAACATCACGAGACAACAGTCCTTTTCATTCCTTAAATTCAAGACGAGACAATGGCGTCATGAAGGATTACCAAGTCGAGACACATTCTTGAAAAACACCACACATCGTACTTGATAATACTCTCTCCAGGCACCAAATACAATCAATAGACAAGTACCCAGATGTCTGAACAATGAACAGGAGCGATTCATAATTGACAACAGCATTCAAAGACTGTCTTGATCCATATGTAACATTACACAATAGAAACACAAAGATCAACTCTCATACATATCTTATGCTGAGGATGTCACAAGAAACAATTAGTTTAGTTAGAGACAATCCCTTTATTCTCAGTTTTGATGAGTCGTACGCCAGCCGGTAATGAAGTAACGTGTCATGACTGTGTTCATCAGAGCCTCTGTGGGCGGAAGCATCTGTTTACATGTATTGATGAAGTACGACTATGCACAGCGTGACTGAACCAGTAAAATAGTCATATAATGTGACAAAAATTCATCAATCAAATTTGATATCAGGTTCACGAATGTGGGGAAAACTCTTGTAGTTGATTATGGACTGAGAGTTAGGTCCATGTCACTTTACCAACCTGTATTAAAGTGAACCCGCTTAATCCAAAATATTAAAAAATCCAAACTAGTGAAACAAAGATTAATAATCGCCAGATTAACAGCATATTTCAAGTGAAAACTGCATTGATTAAAACATTAAGGGTGAAAAACCCTTTTCCCTGTAAACAGCTTGTTATAAAAGACAAAAATAATTAAATAAAGTTTGAATAAACAATAACCAACTAGTCTAATACTGTATGGATGAAAATCACCTTCAGTTTGATATCGCTGAGTAAGATCTGAATGCTGGTTGAACTGATTGGAAACATAACGTCTACTGAAATTCAGTTCACCTCAAATCAAAAATCAATCACTGATTTTCTAAGGAAGCCATCAGTGGCATCCAATGTTGTCATCAATTGTGCATCATTAAAAACATGCTCTGGAAAAAATAACATCAAAAGATGACGACCCTGGAGGAACTCACAGGAACAGATAATGATTCATTCATGAACCACCAGGTAATTTCTATTAAAATCAATTATCAATATAATAAATAAACAGAAAAATATCAACCTACCTTCGTCACTATCATTGCGGGATAGAGAAGGTACCAGACTCTGCGCTCGTTTCCGTTCAATCACTGTCGGTGGTACCCAAAACTTTTCACTGGCATCGGCAGTTGGCGAACTGGGACTACTCCCCATCTTGCGGACGTTTAGGAGCCATTCGGTCTTTAAACTCCCAGCCCGTATCCCTCTTCCTTTGGCTGTCCCGGACATGAATGAATTTGCTTGGTCCCTTCGTAACAGTGGACTCACCTGGTCCGAACACCTCTCTTCCAAAAGTGTACGCTCATACCAGTTGAGGCGGTAACGTTTGGAGCAGAACACATACAGAAGCACTATCACCAGTGTGAGTACCACAGCCGGTATGCAGGCGTACACTGCTATTAAATAGCCTGGTATGCTTTGACTGGTCATGGTCAATACAGGCTGAATGGGATTATCTCCCTTGGATAATACTGTCCCAGCTAAATGAGATTGGAATCAGTGGGGAGCTAGATGGTGTTTGACATGAATGACTTATTCATCGTGATTAGCAGGTGAGAGACGCACTCCGGGTAGGGATGAAAGGTCGGATTATGCACCTGGAATAAAGAAGCATTGTCATGAGAAATGATTGTTGTTCGTGGTGTTCCAAAACTAGGTCACTTTTTTCTACCTATACATTCATAGGTGTGTCTGTAAGGCTGATGAGAGCATGTATACACTATAGTACAAAGAACTCACATGACTAAATTTACTCCATTATCCACAGATAGGTGTGTCTGTATATATTTAAGTGAATGTATCCCCTACAGAAATGTACAGAGTTTTTCCATGAGTAAGTTTATTGCTCTGAGTTCACAACCTTGTGTCTAGTCATTGTTAAGGAGAAATCTATATACCTCACTCAGCTGGCAAGTGAATGTTTAGAGTGGCATATAATCCTCTTCGACACAACCCAGGTATTTCAATAGAAAGTATTACGGGAATCAATTAACGATAACGCAAATATTATTGAGTGAATCAGGTCAATGATGAACATTTGTTTCAATTGAAATGTACATTAGTGTGTTCCATTCTAATAAATTAGGTCACACTGGTGTCAATCAAATATGTCAATCATATATTTCACTGTCCTGAAAAATGTCTTGTCCTAATTGACATATCTGACCAAAAAAATCCACCACCCCCCACCCCCCCATGATATATTTGCACTTAAATTCTATGTTTAACCTTCGTGACCTAATTATTACACATTTCAAAGTAAATGTTGACTTACTGACTAATTTGCATAAACCAGCTGAACTGAAATAAGAAATATTTAGAAACTGACCCCCCCAAAAAAAACAACTTTCATCAGGCATATCATGCACCACTAGGGGCGGTGGGGTGGGGTAGCCTAATGGTTAAAGCATATGCTTGTCATGCTGAAGACCCGGGTTTGATTCCCCATATGGGTACAATGTATGAAGCTTGAGTCCTAAGATATTGTCCATTAATACTGGAATATTGCTAAAAGCAGCATAAAACCTTACTCACTCACTCACTCACCACTGATTCTAAAACAAACACTGAAATAACAATGAAAACAATATGGCATTAACAGCAAGATTAACAGCAAGATTTGGTGGATTTTCCTGTAAGCTTAGCATAAGTGTCACTTCAATCAGTGGGGACTGATGGCTTAACTGTAGGATTAATGAAGATTACTGGGCTAATTAATTTGACATCCCTTCAAAGTACAACATGAGGTATAAATAAATGTTCATATATACCCATATTATTGGTTCCTGGACAAGAAATGATTGTTGTTTTCTTTCTAATCATATGAATGCCTGTAAAACATCTCGATAACTTATATTAGATAACTTTATCCTTAACACAAGCCATCATTCAAAAAGTAAGAATGTCTCTCTGATACAACCCCCTTCACTATAGCCCAAGCAAGCACTGCAGTCCAAAAACATATGATGTCAAAAATCCTATGATCCAACTATACATGCTCGAGTATATTTTTAAAAATATTTTTTAACATGTACACATGGCAACATAACTCAATACATCATCATCATTAAATAAATACCTACAAACAAACTCCAAATCTTTACTTTTTCTGTGACCTGATTTAACTGTAGGCGGACCGACAACAAGAGGATTACTGACGTGTAACAACACTTTATCTGTCTCAGAAACACAACATGTAAGTGAAAACAGTAAGTTTAGAATAAGCCTGAAGACATCAGTTTCTTGATATTTCCATACATCCCATACAATTTTCAGTTGTCAGAATTACTAAGAAAATCTTTGTTGGAGAATATCTATTGAGAAGGTGTTTTTCAAACATGAAGCAAATTATCAGGGGATATCCAAAATGAATGTAAAGCTCCAATGGGTGGTGGGGTAGCGTAGTGGTTAAAGTGTTTGCTCTTCACACCGAAGACCCTGGGTTCGATTCCCTACATGGGTACAATGTGTGAAGTTCCAATATGGAGACAAACTTATTTCAGGTACTGCTAAACTAAGGCCTTTTTTTTCATTACTTGGTTTACGGATCCGTCGACCCAAAATGTGAAGAAAGTGGGGAAAAAAGAAGAAAAAAATTTACATTTTTTTCTTGCCAGTATATGCCACCGACCTGATAAAAAACAAAGAAAGTGAAAAAAAAAGGAAAAAAAAGGAACAGATAGCAAATTATACCTTTCAAATATTTCCTGATACAGCGGAACAGAGAGAAAGGTAATGCCACATACTGCTCAGCTGGCATGCTGCACCTGGCTTATAGGATATACTCAAGTGTGAAAATAACATCTCCATACTCCCTTCTTTTTTCCCCTCCCTACCAATCTAAAAATTTTGTTTAAAAGTCTGCAAACCAAGTAATTTTAAAAAAAGGCCTAAAGAGAAATGTGAAAACACATGACGTACTGAAGTTCAAATCAACTAGAATTACCAAACCTTAACTGTTTTAATACCATTTTAGTAAGAATGTTGCCAGCTTGAGGCAGGTATGTTAAAAGATGTATGGGACTTTCACTCAAAACTTAAACCACAAAGGCTTGTAACCAGCGGTCAAAATAGCTACTGCCCTGCTAGCCAAATGTTAGCTGATTATGAATCTGGCTAGTAATATATTGTTAAAGCAGTCCCGACTGGCTAGCTGAAAAATCTCAGATACTTTAAGATACTTCTTCAATGCACATGAATTTAATCAGTAAGGTGTTTAAAGTCCGTCCGCAAAAGTTTCGTGATATTTATTATCTCTTGTTACATGAAGATCGCTATATAAAAAATGTTAATAGTGTTGTGAAAAACATACAATACAAATGTAACGTTTAACATCTTCAGTTACCAAACATCACACCAATTCTTACCGATGTGTGTTTTGATGTTGATATTTTGAAGGGCCAGTGAAGTATGATGTGGGCTAGAAACATTTTTACTTTGCTAGCCCTCCTGGCCAGTGACTTTTCAAAATTTATTCATAAACTGCTTGTAACACAAAGAAATGACAAAAAGAAAAACGAAAACAGCAACAAGAAATACTTGTATATTGTCACTGACAGCCTTAGCTCTATTATATAGACCCTGTGAATTTAACCATTGGTATCTGTCATTTCTCTACCCTGTCCGTTGTGTTAGAACCACTTCAGGAACGCTGATCCCAGAATAAAATTGTTGTGATGTTGTAATTACAGCAAAATAATGTCTTCCTCGTCCTTGAAGGAACATGGGTTTATTTATACATTGCTAAGGCTGTAAGTAAAAAAACGTGGGATCTTTGTATAGAAGATGTGATCTCATCATTCACTCTCTTTCATTGCAAACATCTAGATTACAGGGAGCACCATTAGAAATCTAATAAATAGTTAGAAACATGTTTAGGTCATTTTTAAACATTTTCTGATAAATTGTTCATATCTATTTATATATTTCCCTTATTATAGTACAAGCAGCCACACATACAAATACACTCGCATGGACGTCGTCATATGAGCGAAATATTCTCAAGCACGACGTTAAACCCAATTTCACCCCACCTCACCCTTATGAATGTTCTATTTTATACAATATGTTAAAATTGAGTTTGTGTATAAAGAATTAAGTGTTAGCAACATGCTCTGACTTTTCCAAGATCTCAGTGAGAAGCTTATTTATAAAATAGTAAATCAAAAGGCTTTCACTACAAACAAATGTTGTGCAAGGAGATTTCATTCAAGATGCTGCAGATATTTGGATTAATGGGGTTGTTTTAACTTATCACTGACATAACATTTTCACCATATAAATATATATAGAGAATCTCACCCAAGTGTCTTCTGATATCAATTATATCAACACGAGTTGATAAAGTTACAAATATCCGAGGCTTGCCGAGGATATTTTTTACTTTTATCAACGAGTGTTGATATATTTGATATCAGAAGACACGAGGGTGAGATTCTATTTATCATCCACAATCACTCTTCATTAACTTTCAATGAAAAATGTACATCTCTGAACATGGTACTGCCATTAGACTTGCAGTGCAGCGATGTCATAGCATTGTGACGTCATCAAGTACATGACGTCATAGCATTGTCAGGGCATTGTACAAAATCTACTGTCAAAACGATATCTCCTAGGAGATATCGTTTGATCTCACACAAGCGATATCTCCTGTGGAACACAGTTTTGGATGATAAACATAATACCTTGCAGAGAGCCTAATATCACCCTTAAAGATGGTCTGTGGTGCTAAGGACAAATTATGCGCAAAGTGCAGAGATTATTACCCCAGTTATCCCACCGGGGGTACCCATTCACTGCTGGGTGAACAGAGGCAGTTTTGAACAAACTCACTTGATTAAGGTGAGACCATATGTGTCACATGTTCATTGTGAGGCAGGACTGAAGCAGCTAAACATGGCCACAACCCCAAGGATCTCAACTGTTCACCACCACAATCATCACATTAATTGTCTCCTAATTATAGTAATAAACATATTTCCTTAGGATTTGATAACAACGTCAATTACAACACCTATATAAAAAAGACCTTGTAAAGAATTGGTTCAATCAATACTATCATGTGTCCCTTTGGATGCATTGTACTCTTTTCTGTGTCCATTCTATACATTTGTGTGTTCTGTAGAACTCGTAATCACCATTTAACATGAATTGAAAAAATAAAGAAACCAAAAAAAACCCGGATCAGTATAACTCGTAATCACCATTTCACACAAATTAAAAAAGAAAACAACAAAAAACACTAAAAACTAATTCAATACACTTAAAACCTCTCACAAAATCCCAGTTTACAAAAAACAACGCCCTTGAAATGCACATCGTCAATTTCGAAATCAGGGCATCTTTACCAGGCTGGTTGTATCGGTGATTTGAGAATGATGTGAAATAGAGTGCTGTCTATTTCATGTTCAGGAAGGTGAGGCAGTGTGTTCCCACTGACCTGAGATGTAGGTCAAGTGGCAATGATGGGTCCCCAGATCTTATGGACACTTATGACAAAGCAATATCAATACTCGTCCAGCTTCACCTAATGGAAGAGGTAATGGCTGCTTCAGCTGATGGAGAAGTGCATTAT